TGTGTCTATAGCTACTCATCTTTCTAGGTACCTATATTCTTTTTTTTCTCTCTCATTGAGTTTATTGGTACATTTTAGGTATACAGTACAGTTACATTCATCATTGGGATCTTGTACCTTTACATGACAGGTCTTGGTTATCGTTTTTCCCCTTTGTCCCTGCCCTCCCTTCACCCCCTCCTACCCTCCCAATTAACAAACACTTTATTTCCATTTTTTAATATTTTTTCTTTTCCCTTATCCTTCCCACTTTCCCTACACCTTTAGCCCTTTTCTTCCTATTTCACATTGTCAATTATATCATTAGGAATCTTATGTACTATTATAGTTTTTCATGCCAGAGAAACTATTTGGTATTTACACATGTGACTTATTTATTTTACTTAGGAGTATATCCTCAATATGTATCCATTTTCCTATGAGTGACTCTAATTTCTCATTCTTTATGGTTGAGGAGTATTCAATTTTATAGAAAAAACACATCTTCTTTATCCAGTCTCCAAGTATGTTCCTATATTCTTACTCCACAGCCTCGGATTAGTTACCAGATGAAAGAGGACATCAGTTAAAGTTGAATTTGAAGCATAGAACTTAATCTAAAGTTGATCTCTAATTCAAATTCATCTTGCTTTTTTATTTGCTAAATGTAGCTACTTTGTAAACTGTTGTGTTTTTATGTGGTACCATCAGATATTATTGAAATAGCAAGTGATCAAACAATGAAAAGGATGCAGCATATCTGATTCCCACCATATAATTTGAAATCAATCCATCAATTTCTATTTTTGATTTACCATTAGTGTGACTGTTATGGCTTGCATCTAGATGCCCCCCTAAAACCTCATGCAGTTGTAGATGGGGCTTTTCAAAGGTGGCTGGATCTAGCTTATGTGATGTTGGGATCTAGGGTGCATGATTACTAAATTATCCCATTGATTGGTTTGGCCTAATTCTGGGTAGGATTAAGGGTACGCCACCCTAGATATGAATGTATCCATCCTAAAGCAAATAGCCAGGATAAAATATAAGGGACAGAAAGAGAGTTGTTGCTCATCACTTGCTGCTTTGCTGCCTTCTGCCCTCCATGAACTCCTCTGCGGTGCCCATCTGCCATGCTACCTGGGTTAGAGCCAGCCAGCTATGGACTGAACATGTGAACTGTGAGCCAAATCAACCTTACCTCCTTTAGTTTTGAGTGTCAGATATTTTGTTTCAGCAATGACAAAAGTAATTATTACAGTGGTCATGAATTCCTTAACTTCTTCAAAGCTTGGTTTCCTTGGGTAAAATCAGTGGAATAATACTAAACATTTTGGTTTTCTATGCTAATGAAAATATAGAAGTATTCAAACCACAGAAAAAATTCAATAAGTGGCTAAATTGTAATTATTCATGAAACCTCTCTGTGTCTCCTTTAATGTTGGCTATAGTCTGTGACTTCTTTCAATGGAGATCTCTAAGAGCTAAATTCTCTCCAGTTTCATTACTGGGAACAGATCTGCCTTTATCCCTGCCTTCCTAGCTAACTAAAGCGATGGGTGTATTTTTGATTTACGGACTTAGAGAATTTTGAAACTGATTTTATTTCCCTGTTTATATTAGCTACTTGAAAGTATAAAGCTAAATTTGGCATCTTTTTACAGCAAATATAAAGAACATGGTAACACAGAATGGCTGATGATCTGTTTCATGGTACATAATACTGAGCTCATTGCTCCATTACATGTATTCCTATACACACCACTTCATACTCACCTGAGTTCTTTGTGACTCATTTTGTACAGCTGAAAAGTGAGAGGATCGAGACAATGAACCTTGAGATCCTTCTCAGCTTCAACAGTTGCTCATGATTCCAAGTTGTGGGCTCATAGTGAGGTCAGGGAACTGCTGGACACCTGAATTCTTATTCAGCAGTTGAAACTTCACTTGGTACTTCCTCTGTATGGGGTGGTAAGATATTCACACAAGAGAGTGTGAGCAATACAAATTCAGCCAAAATCTGTTGGACTTATGCCATACAGTTATGGTGAAAATGTTTGTGAATTATAAGAACATGGAGAATTATTTTTGAGTCATTTTTCATAAAATAAAACATACATCCTCAGTATTCAATTAAATAAATTGTGATAGCCTAACACACCTGTATGTTATAACAAACAGTCAGACATCATCATTCCAGAAAGTTCCATTGTGATATCTCACCTGTCCTCCCACAGGCAAACAATGTTCTGATTTTCATCTGCATGGCTGAGTCCTGTCAGTTTTCCCTATGAATATCAATAGACTTGCATGGTATTGTATCTGGGTACTTGTTTTCAACATACAATTTTTAATACTCACCCATGTTTTTCATGAGTCACTGGTTTCTCTGTACTCTATTATATGGCTAAGAGTTTGTTTAATCTTGTTCTTGCTGGTAGACATACAGGTTGTTTCCAATTTATGGCTATGAATATGGTTCTCATAAACTTTCCTGGACATCTATTTTTATTTCTTGCCCAGCACCTAGGAGCAGTTGGATAGGTGTATGTTTAATTTGGGGGGGACTGATAAATGTTTCTGCTAACTGTCATTTTACATTCCCATTACAGATCGGTGATTAGTTGCTCTGATGCCTCAGCAATGATTGGTATAGTCTCATTCCTTTATATTTTAATGATTTTTGAGGTTGGTAGGTGAAACTCATTGCTGTCTTGATTTACAGTTTTCTGAACTCTAATTGACTATACATAAATATTCTTTGGTGAGGGTAAAATCTTTTGCCATATTGAGATTGTGTTGCTTCTTTCTATATTGTTGATATGAAGACATTTTAAAATACATCATGGATATATGTTGTTTGCCAGATAGATGTGAGAATTTTGTCAGGCTTACCTTTTGTTTTCTAAATGTGCCACTGATTAATAGTTTTAATTTCAGTGACATTCAGTATATCAATTTATCTTACATGGCACTTTTTATATCTTAGGAATTATTTTTTTCATTTCCCCAGTGGCACTGAGATAGTCTCCTATGTATTTTTATGACATATCTATGGTTCTAGCTTTCATTTTTAATTTTATGGCTTGTTAAGAATGACTAGAATGAGTTAAGGGTCAGAATTCTTTTTTTCTTTTCCATAGAGATACCAAGGTGTTCTAGTAACATTTGTGAAAGACATGTTCCCTCTTCCCCCTCACTGAACTGACACAGAACTTTGGTAAAAAATCAATTGACTGTGCAGGTCTATTAATCAACTTTCTATTTCCCATTTATATTTCTGTAAATATCACAGTTCTGTGATTAATCTTGCTTTATTGCAAACCTTCAAGTCAGGGTAAGTTCTTTTATAAAGGTCAGTATGAGAACTTTATTCTTTTTCAGGATTGTTCTGACAATTCTTGATCATTTTTATTTTCATATATATTTTAGAAACAACTTTTCAATGTCTTTGAAAATTACTCCTGGGATTTGGATTGCATTAAATATATAAACTCCACAGTACAGACAACCTAAAATGTACTCTATACTAGCTTAAACAGCAGTGAGTCTTGCTATCCGTGAATGTGGTATATCCCTCTATTTACACAGATAAATGTTTTCATAGATATATTTCTTCCAAAGGACTTAGGTTTTGATGTTTAATTTTTATTGCTGTTGTAAAAAACATTCTTAACAAATTTTATTTTTCAAATTTCCATCACTTGCATATTTCTGTATTGACCTCATATTCTGCAATTTTGCTAAACTCAATATAGTAATTTTGTTTTTCTTCCTTTGCTTCTTTTGTAGATTTCACAGGATGACCTACATAGAAACATTTCTTCTGTCAAAACCTGTATTTTTAATTCTTCCTTTGGAAATTATTGTTTCTATTTTCAGTTCTTTACTCATGGTAAAGCATTTCTTCTAGGTGAGACTTGACATCCTTATCTTTGTACTGACCTTAGGACAAAGCAAACTGATTCACCATTAATTACTGAATTAATTGGCTGTAGGTTCCTACTGAAGCTCTTTATCAGATTAAGAAACGTTCCTTTTTCTCCTTTCAGTATTATTGGTTCTATTACAGCAAGTAGAGTGTTGAATTTTGCTAGATGCTTATTTTTTGTGTTCACTAAGATAAATATGTGTTTTCTATTTTATATGGTGAACTAATTTGAGTTAAAAAGAATGAGAATCCTATCTCCTTAAACCCTTCCCTATCAGCCATAGATGCCTCTATTTTTCAGAGTTATTGCAATAATTATGTCATTTTCTTATTTATTATATAGCAAATTATTGTGATTGGGTAAAAAGAAGGAAAATCACTCTCTCCTTAAACCCTACCCCACCAGCCATAAATCTTTCTGTTCATGGTTGTTTAAAAACAGTTCCACCTCTCTATAAAAATCTTTTCTTTAAGGAAAGAAAGAAAATGAATAAAAATGAGAAAAGAAAAAAAAAGGAAACAAAGCCTTTGTAAATAGGGAGGGATGTAGGGGTTGAAGGGAAGGCAGGGGAATGGGAAAAAAATAAGAACCAAGATATATCATGTAAAGATGCACATTCCCAATGATGAATGTAACGGTATTGTATGCCTAAAATGTACCAATAAACTTAATGAATAAAAAATAAAACCTAGGGGGCACATTCTCCTGTGGCCTCTTGTTTTTTTTAAACTAAAATCTCAGTGCAACAACTGCGCCCCTCTTCATTCCATCCCTCTTGGAGGGGAGATGCTCTTGTCACCCTTCTGCAGACTGCTACCTCTGCATCTTTGCTCCCAGCTTCCAGGTCCCGCACTCTGCTCCCTGCGGACTTCTTCTGTTCTGCAACCCTTAACGGACCGTCCCCTCCTGTGGGCGCCACCTGGGCACCGGTGTCCCTGACCCTTGTCCCTAGGGGACAGGTGTCCCTGGCGCCGGCCTCACTTGGGTCATAGCGCCTCGTGGCCTGAAGGGCGCGCAGGAGACACTCGCGATCCCTATGGCCCCTCAGGCGCCACCACCAGGGCCCTCAGAGCAGAAGATTCCGACTGCGCGTGTCCCACAGAGCCCCAGCCTGAAGCGTTCTGAGTCGAGCGCCCCAAAACGAGGGTGTCCCCCACCCCAGCGTCCAGGAACCCCGATTATCAGGGCCCAGATCAGAATGCTGCAGGCTTTGTGGCGGTGGACCTCACTTCCAGCCTCACCCCACCCCCTCCGGGTCCCCAGTCCGCCTCAGGTCCCAACTTCGCCCCGCCCCTAGAGCCGCTTTCCGCTCTTTCTGGGTTCAGGGCTCCAGGCAGAGACTAGGACTCTGCCTGCTGTGGCAGCACCCTGGTGCGGAGGAGGAGGAGGGACAGAGACAGCCGCCACTCTGAGCCCTGGGAAGGTAAGAACGACCCGCGCCACTCTCGCCTTCCCACGGACCTCTGCAGGGCAAGATCAGGGACGCGTGCTTGTGTGTGTGTGTGTGTGTGTGTGTGTGTGTGTGCGCGCGCGCGCTCACTAGACAGCGTGCATCAGCTCTCCCCTATTAAGTTGATTTTTAGAGGTTAAAGCAGTCTCAGTTCCTTCCTAGAGGAGAGAAGGGCTGAAAGAAGTGATGAGAGTAATCATGTGCTTAGTGCATACCGTGCACCTGACACGGTGTAGAAAACTTTTACACTGTTATATTTCCTGTCCTCCCAGAGACTCCAGGAGGCAGGCAGTACTATCATGCATCGAAGGGAGGGGGAGCCATCCCAGCCCTTGAGAGGCTGAGGCAGGAAGATTGTGGAGAGCTCAAGGCCAGCCTGAGCTACATAATAAGGCCTTATGTAAAAACAAAACAAAACGAACAAAAGAACAACAAACAAACAAAACAACAACAACAAACAAAAACAAAGGTAAGGGGACCAAAGCACAGCGAAGGTTCGATAATTTACTCAAGTACATCCAGCTGCTGAGTAGTGGATCTCAGATTTACACCTAAATCGTCCTGATTCCAAACCTCTGTCTTTAGCCTGAGGTACCTGCAGAAGTCAGAACACAGGTAGCTATCATAGTCACCCGTGTAGGTAGGGACAGAGGTGGAGGCTGTCCTATTCATTTTAACAACTTCCCTCCTCTTATACCCACTGTGCGCCCTGAAGAGTGCTGGGATCTGGGTGCACTGCTCACCCTGAGAGTCTTGGGTACACTGGGAGGGGTGGATTTGGGGGACTGGGTTTGTGGTGGGCTGTGGACAGTGGACAGTGGTCTGGTCCCTTTGAATGGGGAGCCCGGGTGGGCAGGGACAAGGGAACCCCATGTGGGTGGCAGTATTTAGCTGTCTTCCAAGCCAGCCTTTGAGCCACGTTGCAAGGGGCATCTGGGCAAAATCAGGACCTAGTGGCATCCAGGTGGTGGCAGGCAGCCACATACATAGGAGGATTTGGGGGAGAGTGTGAGGGAGACAATTAACAGACACTTGTGTGACAAAGACTACTGACCAAGCAAAGCATTTGCCTAGCATGTCTGAACCCTGGGTTCGAATCCCAGCACTGCAAGAAAAAAATATGGCAGGTGCTAGACTTCTGTCAGAGCGGTTTGTCTCACTCAGCCGGGGCACACTGTCTGAACTTCGATGTGACCCACGGGGCAGCAGCCAGGGCTGAGATGACACACTATGGTGAGGAGCACCAAGACAGGCTGGAGGCCTGGAGTCCATCTACCCGACTCCTTCACAGAAATTTGGGGTGCGGCCAGTGCTTTTCAGTGTTTTCAGAAAATCCACCCAGCTTCATCATCATTGTGACATCTGAGGCTGGAGAAAATGGTGAAACTGTCCAGACTATCCCAAAGTTTACATACAGTGAAAAATACCCAGATGAAGCTCCTCTTTCTGAAATATTTCCCCAGGAAAACCTAGAAGATAATGATGTCACAGACATTTAAAAATTGTTAACGTTATAGGCTGAGGAAAATCTTGGTGTGGTCATGATCTTTAGTCTCGTGACAGCAGGGTAAGAAAAACGAAGTAGTAGATCAGACAAAAACAAGAAGAGAAGAAGAAAAGAAACTGAAACAGAAGCAGAAGAAGCACAGAAGCAGTTTTTCCATTGCACGCCTGTCACAATTGAGAATTTCTTATGTTGGAAAGCCAAGTTGGCTGCAGAACGCTTGGAAATTAAAAAGACACAGATGAAGGAAGAAGAGCGAGCAAGAAGAAAATAAATGAGGTGGCAAACAGCTGTTTGAAATGGATCATAATTATTTTTTAAAAATTAATTGCATTTATTGGTACATTTAAGGTATACAGTACAGTTACGTTCATTATTGGGATCTTGTACCTTTACATGACAGGTCTTGGTTCTCATTTTTTTCCCCTTCTCTGTGCCCTCCCTTCACCCCCTCCTCCCCTCCCCATTTACAAACACTTTATTTCCATTTTTTATTTTGTCATATTTTTTTCTTTTCCCTCATTACCTTTCCCCTACCCTTCCCATTTTCCCTACACCTTTAGCCCTTTTATTCCTATTTCACATGGTCAGTTATCTTATTAGGATCTTATGTACTATTATAGTTTTTCACACCAGAGAAACTATTCAGCATTTACACATGTGTGACTTATTTATTTCACTTAGGAGTATATCCTCAATATGTATCCATTTTCCTATGAAAGACTCTAATTTCTCATTCTTTATGGCTGAGTAGTATTCCACTTTATAGAAAAACCACATCTTCCATATCCAGTTTCCAATGGATGGGCAAATGTGCTGTTTCCAAGTTTTAGCTGTTACAGACTGTGCTGCTATAAACATGGGTGTGCATATATCACTGTGGTATGGTTCTTTTAGTTCTTTTGGAAAGATACCCAGCAAAGGGATGGCTGGGTCAGATGGAACCTCTAGTCTCAGCTCTTTGAGGTATCTTCATATTGATTTCCATAGTGGTTGCACCAGTCTGCACTCCCACCAACAATGGAGAAGGGCTCCTTTCTCCCCACAACCCCTCCAACACTTGTTATTGTTTGATTTCTTGATAGTAGCCATTCTTTGTGGGGTGAGGTGGAATCTCAGTGTTGTTTTCATCTGCATCTCTCGACTGACCAGAGATGTGGAACATTTTTTCATATATTTACTTGCAGCTTTTACTTCTAAGACACAAAAACAAATCCAGATGTACTCAGCTACGTCATCTTTGACAAAGAAGCTGACCATCCTCAGTGGAGTAAAGATAGCCCCTTCAATAAAGGGTGTTGGAAAAACTGGATTTCAATCTGCCAAACATTAAAACTGGATCCTTATCTTTCACTGCGCAATAAATTAAAATCCAAGTGGATTAAGGATCTAAACATTAAAACAGAAATACTAAACTTGCTGGAAGATAAGTTAGGCAGAACTCTGGAAGACACTGGCATAGAAAAAGACTTTTTGAACAAATCCTCAGTAGCACGGGAACTAGCACAAAGAATAAACAAGTGGGATCTCATCTTATTAAAAAGCTTCTGTACTGCAAAAGAAACCATCAACAGAACTAAGAGACAACCTACAATGTGGGAAAAAGTTTTTACCAGGGGCTCCTTAGTCAAAGGACTACTATTGAGAATATATAAAGAACTCAAAAAAATCAGTCCCCCCAAATATAAAGACCTAATTCATAAATGGGCATCTGAAATGAACTGATCATAATCTTGACACATGTGATATCCAGTTCTCAGAGGATGCTAGAAATCGTGTGGAAGTAGATATTGTTCCAGGGCATCGATGACTTGGAGCTGGAGGACCCAGACTACACGCAACCCAGGGATGGAGTGACTCAGCCGACTAATGCACCATCTCTGGAGAGCCTGGCAGTCACAGCATTTGTGGCCGTGCTGAGAGGGTTTTAATTTTCCCTTTTTTTCCCCTAAGAAAAAAATAACTTTCAGGAAACTATTCTTCTGATAACTTTCATCATTGAACTCTTCAGACACAAAATGTTCACCTCCTCTTACTAGTGAACAGAAGATTTCATATTTAACATATTTAACATTATTTAATGCTGGATGGAGATCCTACCTGTAACACCAAGACTTGAAGGTGGGCTGCAGCCATGTGCAGATGGGGTTTATGTATAAGGAATGGGACTAACTTGTGATTTCTATCCTGGAAATGATAGTTACTTTTGGATTCCAAGTGTTGTCTTTCATATACAGTGTTACAATACTGAGATAAATAGGAAATTAAATCTGGATTCTAGCCTGTTGACTCAGAACATTTAAGGTTTTTTTTGAGACAGGGTCTCACTACATAGTTGAGACTGACCTGGAACTCATTATGTATGAATGATCTGAATAGGCCCTTCCTGAACCCCCAACTCAGCGCAGTAGCTTATGTTTGCAGTGTGCCCCCTAAGGAAGTTGAGCATCCTCTTGAAAACACAATTGTGGCACCCATAGCTCCACACCTGTAAAGCTTTCCAGGGAGGCACCTGAGGCTTGGGGTGAAATGGCCAAGCTACTCTCAGTGCCTCCCACACAAACAGGCTGAGATCCATGCAAGCTGCCCATTAGCAGCCCCCACTTTTTAGTGATGGTGTCCATTTTATTCCTGCATATAATTTGGGCTTCTAGTTAGTTAATAACTTAAATGTTTGGCTGGGCATGGTGGCGCACGTCTGTTATCCCAGCATTCGGGAGGCTGAGGCAGGAGGATCGCTGTGACTTCGAGACCAGCTTGGGCTACATAGTGAGACCCTGTGTCAGAAAACAAAAACAAACATGCAGAGATTTTTGAAAGTGGATAATTCAGATGTGCCAATGAGCTGGATGATCTAGACTCCAAACTATATATTTTGTGGATTTAATGTATTCATTATTTGCCATACAATAAACCAGCTAATGGATATAAGTAAACATGGCAGTGATAATTGTTATGAATCAAAAAATTAAAGGAAAGGATGATGTGGTGTGTGTGTGCGTGTGCATGTGTGTGTGTGCGTGTGTGCGTGTTCTACATTTCCATTAGATTGCTCAGGGAAGACCTATACTTTATACACTGATATCAACAAATTTTAAAGAAAGGACAGGACTATTCAATTAATGATAAAGAAATAATTAGTAGTTACTTAGAAAAGTAAGCTTAAATAGACCCTATCTTCATGCTAAGTAAGAACATTGACTATTGATGAATTTTTTAAAAAGTTAAATTTAAATGAGTGTAACTCAATCATAAAAATGAAGAAAGTATAGATAAACATGTTCTTACTCCAGAGGAAAGAAATGTTTTATATTTAAAAGTAATAGAAAAATCATAATGGAAAAGAATAATTGTTTTGACTGCATCAATATTAATATACCAAAGAGGAATTGAAAGTAAACCAAACAAGTTAAACAAAATATCAAACATCTGAGAGCTGAGCAAAGGATATAAAGAAACAATTCATAAACATAGAAATAAAATGCTCAATAATAGCTGATTAATATCTGCTTTATAATCAAATGAAATGGGGATTTACAAAAAAAGAGTGAAGTACCATTTTTCCATCCTGACTACCTCGTTTGATTTTTAAAGTGAGAATGTTCATTGCTGGGTGTGAGGGACGGAAACTGCTTTGCACTGTGGAGGGAGGAAGTGGGAGTTCTGTAACATTTCTGGAATGTGGTTTTGTGGTACGCATTTGTCATACTTTAGAGTATTGACCCATTTACTCCCCTGCCAGGTAGTAGCACCAAGAAAATGATAAGAAATACAAGCAAATGATAATGCCATTTAAGTGGTATTTCTTATTGTGCAGATCTTTTGCCATAGTTATGCTTGGAGCTCTCTTATCAACTCTGGGAGATGGTATTCTTGTCTCCTATGGATACAGGAAGTGAGAACAGGGAGGATCGGTAACAGGCCTGTGGCAATGCAGCTGGTAGAAGAGAGGCTGGAGCTTCATATCCAACCAGGCTGGCACTGAGGCCGTACTACAGTGGTCTGAGCCTCCCTCCTTACACAGAAACATCACCCTAAGGCTATTTCATAATATGGACCCTCTTGTAAATGGTGATGCATTTATTTGGAAGAATAGTAGGTGGTGATTAAAATGATGTTAACAAAAAAGCAGTATGGTGTGGGAAAATGCTAATTATGTAATATTAATGGAAATGCAAAATATATAATTAAGGAAGCACCATTTAAGTAGTTGAAAATACATAGAAAAATGCAAGGCATTATGCTAGAGTATGCATGCTGACATAATTTTCTCTTTTTGGTGTTCATTTTGTAAATAGTCTGCATTGGGAATGAATTGCTTTAGAAATCAGATCAAAAATCCAAAGAAAAGAAAGAAGAGAAAAACCTAAAAGTTAAAGGAAAGAAAAAAATAAGCATAATACCAAAACCCTCTAAAATTCTTACATCCAACAAATGTAATTTATATTTCCCTATGTTTCTTTTATTAATAATTGGTAGGCTAGCCACAATTGAGTACAGTATTTGTCACATTTCCTAAAATAGGTCTTTTTTCTGGATAGAAATTCATTATATAATAAACTATCAACCTCTTAATTTCAGACATACAACTTACCAAGTACACTGACAATTTAATATACACATGTCCACACCCGGGGAGCTATGTCAGCTATTTTTATACACTGGGTTCTGAATGTACTTCATGTGGAGACTCAGGACTCACAGAAGACCAGATCATCTCATAACTGTGTTCCTTGGGAGGCCTTGGGAAAAATAAACAAGGAGTGTCCTTGATAAGCCTTTGTCAGCCTTCACCAGATAAGTGACAAAAAGGAAATAACCTTTTACTTCCTGCCCACTGTAAAAGAATAGACGGAGCTGAGGATAAACCACGTGAGTGGGAGCCCAGAGGTTTCCAACCAGAGGGCTGTTCTGGTCGGACTCTGAGCAGTTGGTACTTTCCATATGTACCAGCCCTGTGCATACTTGATGACAATCTCTTGGAAATTCCACCAGATATTTGGCGATGTTATTCATAAAGATTAGAGGAAATAGCTTGGCAGCTTCATTATTTGACTGTTTCTACAATCCATGTAGCATTAATCCCTGCCTCCCTTTTAGGATGGGAGGTGAATGGTAGTTGGGCCAAGGAAATTGTTACTGTGGACCCAGAAGTCTTTGTAAACATCGGTTGGTTCAATTCCACAGTGATCCTAAAGCCAGGCCTCCTGTTCCCTTGTTTTTGTGGTAGTAGGGATAGAACCCAGGGCCTTGGCTGAGTGAGAGCTTCACCCTGACCACCCCAGGTGGCCCTCTTCCCTCTGCTTTGGTGATGGGTGGGCTGCCCAAGATGCCTCAGTGACACTCCCGCTGCTCAGCTCCTCTGAGCCTTGTCATCCCGGTCCATATGTCTATGAGACGAAGCCCTTTGCATCACACACTTCCTCCACGGAGGGGCTGGAGACCAAAATGCAAATGGTGAGATTTTCTATAAGCACAGGACCTTGGTTTGTTATTGACTGCTCAGATCAGAAAATGGTCAGCCCTGGGGAAGATGCTTCCCTCATTCTGCTCTCCCGATCTGTAACTGGAAGGGTGGAGCACAGTGGTCCTGAGGCCACAGTTCCAGACAGTTTGCTGGGCTCAGTCAGTGGAAAGAGGGGTTCAGAGGCAGGCACTGCAGCTTAATCTCAGTTTCCCTGAAATAAATACTGTGGTAGTGGGAGTGAGGATGGGGCCCACACCTACACACACCCGTTTCCCAGCCACAGGTGGTAGTGGGAGATCACTGTGTCCAGGGCCTCAGACTGGGGAGAGATGTTCTGAACAAGGAAGGCAAGTTTTAGAAAGTTCAACCCACAGGTGAAGATCAGATTGCACATCCTGACAGGGAGCTACATGTGTTCCCACTGAAAGGCCTATCAGAGGCTTGATCCTGGGAGAGATGCAGTTAGGAGAAAGATGGTGGGCTCCTTAAGGGATGAGCCTAGTGTCTTGGTCCTGGGATGTGGTCCCTGGAAGGAGAGAACACCAACAGACGAACGAACAAAGAAAACATGGTGTTTATACATAATGGAGTACTATTGTGCCATAAGGAAGGATAAATTTCAGCAGATCTGGTCCCTTCCTTTTTTACTCTTTCACGCCTGGTCATGAGGTGATCAGTGTTTTGGAACAGTACGTACCTGCTATCCATGCTTGCATTCATCACATGGAGTTGGTACATCCTGCATCAAAATCCTTTTTACTTTCACTTCCTCTTTTCTCTCTCCCTTCCTCTATCTCTAGATCTCCTTCCCATCTGAAAAAGGCTAATTGCCTGTTTTCTATTACCTGTCTTTCATTTTGCTTTTAATTTAATTATACCTTGGGTTTGCCATAAAAGAGGAGCCATGAGATATTGAAGCTTGTGTGTCTGATTTATTTTACTAAACATTGTGGTCTCCAGGTGCATCCATTTTCCTACAAGTGACTCAAGTTTATCCTCTTTACAGCAGAGTAGTCCTCCATTGTGTGTAAATACTACAGTTTCTTTATCTGTTCATCTATTAATGGACACACAGGCTGCTTCCAAGATTCAGCTACTGTGAGCTGAGCAGCTGTAAGCATGGGTATGCATGTAATTGCCCCCCAACCTGTCGACACAGCCGTACCTTCCCAGCTACAGGCCTAAAAGCAACAAGGCTAACTAATCATGCACTAAAACTGTGGGACAAAATAACTCTTCTGTTTGTAGAAGTTGAGAATTTTAGATACTTGATGTAGTGCTGGAAAGCCAATTCACATCTCCATGCACCTGCACGCACACACACGCATACACATATGCCATACACACACGCACACACAAACACACATGCAGGCACACTCCTACCCGGGAAGAACTGCTGTATGCACCGTGGCAGGCCGCAGATTATGTATTCATAGAGGAGTGTGCTTTCTGGAAATACTGTACTACTGCCCTTGACTTGGACCTTGGAGGCTGGAATTCGTAGACCAAGCCTAAAAGACCCAGGATCTAGTGTATTAGAAAATTGCATTTTTGGGTCTTTTTTCCAGAAGCTAAAATTCATTGCCTTGAAATTTTGATGATTCTGTGTTGTTGGAAGTTCTAAGAACTGGTGATATTGTGAGGGACATGAAAATCTTTTGAGCTGCTTTGTATAAGTTTGTGTGTCAGAAAATTTTTTTAAAACTCCCTTTTAAGACAGGCATTTTGTTTTGTTTTGTTTGAAGGCTATGGCTTAACCTGTCTTATTCTGTTTTCCAGAGGGACCATTTGAAGCAGAATCCTCAGCATGCATCGTGGACAATTATTCTTGACCCTTTGGGTTATAGTTAAAAGCACTTCCGGTAAGTGATTATTATTATTATTCGCAAACATATATCATTAACAATTCACAGTGTTGTCATATGGAGAGGAGGTGTTTACTGAAGACACTGGATTTGTTAAAATTCAGTGATTAAAATTTTACTTTAGAAAACATAACTATTTGGTATCCTCGGTGTAGAGAATGAAAGAGTTACAGTAATAGAATCAAGTAAAGAAAATACATGTGGCATAATTGAAAAAGAAAAGTCAGCCCTCTGGGTTTATGCAGACAGAGAACTTTTGTCTGTCTTAAAAAGAAATTTGCTTCCCTTTACCTAAATGCGAGGAGGCAACCATCTTTATTACTGGTTTTTAGAAAGTTTTATACACATTTTCTCCTTCCTGAAAGATAGGAAGATTCATCCTATTCTTTAGGAAAAAATGAGGAAAGCACTTTACAGATTTTAAATGCTATGAGGGCTGCAAAGCATATATGAGAGAGAGGCCCATTAGACTGGAGCGCAAGTGGGCTCCCAAGCGGATGACAAATACAGTCACGCCTCCGTTCACGAACTGAATTCTTTCCACAGCTCTTGTCAAGAACCTAATCAGATTTCCCCATAGGGTTCTGTGTCACCCGATGTGGAGTTTGCCAAAGGAAGCAAAATTTTGGGAATGCTTTTGTTTGAAAGCCGAACAGTTCGTGAATAGAAGCATTTGTGAACCAAGGCACCATTGTACCACTTTTAATTTATTGGTAGTGACTGTTGAGATATTTTGTTGTTTTCCATTGGAAGGGTTCTGAGAACCCATTCCTTGCAGATGAGTTCCATGATGGAATGGCTCTGCAGGAGAAAGAGGGAGCACAGGAGTTAGTCTGCCTTGATCTGTTATCTACGAGAGGGAAACCCTCTACTGGAAATGGGACAGTTTAAGGTAGTTGTGGTAGTTGTGACACTTGAGGTAGATGCGACAACACTAGGACCTGTGACTTTCCTTATCAAGAAATTTTAACGTGAAGTGTTGTCTTTTACAAGATGACTCTTCACATGTCTGCCTCCTGGCTGTGTTATGTTATATTCGTACACCTTCCTGTTTAGGAGAATTAATCCAGTTTGTCTCTGCCTCTATCCTGAATGTGTCTGACCCCTCCTAGCAAGAAAAGAACTAAAGGACAGGAATGTGGCACTGTCTCAGGGCTTTCATACTAACCTTGCTTCTTCCACGAATGCATTAGGAGAGAAAACATCACCTTTATCATTTGTTTTTGTTTTTCTTTTGCTAATCTTTAGGAGAAGATTGTATTTCACGGCCCCACCTTAATGTGGTAGAAGGGGAACCTTTTTATCTCAAATGCTGCCCATTTTCATCTGCTCAGAGAAACAAAACAGCCACCCCACGATGGTGCAGAAGCAACCAGTCTCACAAGTGTGCTGAGCTGAATCTGAGCACCTCGCCCCGAATCACTTTGCGCAAAGACATTTTGGAGTTTTGGCCGGTGGAGTTAGAAGACCAAGGATCCTATACTTGCTACCTGGGGTGAGTAAACATTTCACTTCACTATATTTCTTAGGACTCTTGGCCTTTGGTTAGCTGCTCAAATATATGACAGTCAGTTTTAAAGTTGAGCTACTCCTGGGGTGTAGATGCCCTGGTCAAAGAAATCAATGTCTAGGACTCAAAATGAAATTAAAGTGTAGACAGTGGGTAGTGGGCCAGCCTGCAGGGTAGAGGTAGTGGGACTAATGGGGACAAATACTGGTGAGATTTTCAGGGGTCACTGGGAAGCAGGTGGCAGTGCCACTGGGGAGGTTTGCGTTTGCGCCATCCATGCCTCTGAGGGAAACCAGGATGGGCTTTGTGGTCTCCCTGTGCCAGCTCCCTCTGTGGTACCAGGCTCAGAATCCAGGAGTGTGGGTCTGTGACCTGACAGCAACTAACTGGTTGTGTCAGCCACTGTGCTGTGACTGAGCTTGGCTGTCATTATAGATACTACTTGCACACATGTGTGTGTACATGCATGTGGGCGTCCACAGGGCTGTTGCTGAGCTGTTAGGTACAGATTTCTCTTAGAAATCTCACTCTTCCCTCTCGAGAGTCCTGTGAATTATCAATCATGCTTTTGAGAGCAGAGAGGGGAGACAGATGTGTGTGTGTGTGTGTGTGTGTGTGTGTG